CCCCAAAACCCCAAAACCCCAAAACCCCATTTGAATAGATTTAAAAATATCCAAAGTAATGGATAAATGTATTAAAATAAAGCAATTAAAATATTATAAATACAATGTTAAATTAGACAGCAACTGAGACAGAGCTCGAATCAGAACTTCAGCCTTAACTCAAGGATTAGTAAATCTTATATTACCTAAATGACACTTATCAGATAAATCCTTGAAATGTTTTAAGATGAGAATTTCAATGTATTCCGACCTAGGGATTGAGATAAAACCTTTTTGTTAAACAGATTACCCAATAAGTCTTCATTTGCTAACAGAAAAGTCAGCGTTCCTCTTTTTCTTCATGATTAGTAAAACAATAACGGAAACGGTAGCAGCAATAATTATGTTTCAAGTATTGATTACCTTTTAATATCTAACGATATTTAGAGATAACTGTTAACAGACTGAACTCAATTATGTCTCAGGATATAAAGATGGATAGACTTGATTCCAAAAGAAAGTAAACAGAATTTATAGATCATGCAATCAATAGTAATATAGCTATGATCTATAATCTGATTATTCCTAGGTGTATATGAAAAGTAAACTAGAAATTCTATATTAAAAGATTATGAACCCTCGAATCTTGAATTCAACTATGAGTTTTAAGAGGATTTGATTGTAGATCCAGCTTAATCTAGAATATCAACAGCTCATGAGGAAAGTAAGAGCAAAGAACTATTATAACACCAGCAGTAAAATCTAAAAAGACATCAACGAGTTAGTTACTACTTACTGCTAAATTCTCTTAAAACTAATCCAGATTTTGCAAGGTCATTGATAAAATCTGATTTTTACATTAAGAATATATTAGAAACCTATTATGACAACGATGAAACTCCAATTAGAAAAGAGAGGGATGTATACAAAGGAAAGCTGATAAATAAAGTTTTGCCAAAAAATGGGATCTTAAAGGATAAGATGAGTATTATAAAGAATCTTGAGATTACAAAGCAAAACATAAATAATGAAACCAACAGGTAGTTCTTGCATATTCCTACAACTCAAAATAAATAGTAAGAAAAAGTACAGGATCAATAAGCTGCTATTCTTTAAACTATAATAGATGAAAATCAAAAGGATTCTAAGAAGAGGGACAAAACTCAAAGACCGTAGAGGTTTGTTTATTTGATTGAAGATGGCTCAGATCTGAGTACTTGCTAGATGCTTAAAGTTGATGTGAATAAGTATCTGGATAAATATGATTTTAGTAATCAGGAAAAGAATATCGACAGACTCTAAAAATATCATCTTACACTAAAGCAATCTGACTTTGAACGAAGAGGGTTTCTAGAAATGTTACATTTTGCCTCAACAAGGCTAAAAAGTAATAAGTATCAGCAAGAAGATAGTGAAATCACAATGCATAAGGATTAATTTACTCACCTTTTCACCATAAACGGAGAAGAGTTGAATAATCTGATTGAAATACCTGAAGATGTAAAGGTTTGTGTATGTAGTACAACTAAGCACTTTAAAGGTATCATAAATAGCAGGAAGTTAGTGTCATTTAAAAACTATAAAGCATATAAAGACTAGAATATCAAGAATCATCTTTATCATAAAACTTATGAGTGGATCAAAGATAAAATGCTTGATTGGAATAAGGATAACAGTAAAATAGATAATGATAATAAACTGCTTGATCTAAATAAGTATAATTAGGCAGCATCAGCTTATGGATATTCAACAATTCTTGAGGGGAATAAAAATGATAGATTCTTAATTGATAAAGTCAATTTAAACACTACATTTTAAGACAAGAATAATTTCTCTAATTATGGATTGCAAAATGTCATGAAAACCAGAGACACTCACAGTCTATCATAGATGAGAACTTACCAAAATTATACCTCCAAAAATAATAGTCCTTTGTCAAAATCTTCAAGAATTCTGCAAAATTCATAACTTGCTAATAAATATGGAACATTAGTACACAAGGAAGACAAAGTATTAGGCTAAAATTTTAGATCTCGCTCAGTACAAAAGAATGAGCGCAATCAATCAAAAACTCTAAAAGAAATTAAGCTTGAAAATGAGTAGAACAAGCTAATTAAGAACTTCAGCTCTCATGTCTCTCAGTAAAACTTAAATTCTAATAGAAAAAGAAATTTGGAATTCGCCTAGAATTAAACTTATCAAAACGCTTCTATAAGTCCAAAAAGAAATGGATAAGAGATCTAGGATATGAAAAATCAGATGAGTGAAGACAACATCAGCAGGAGGAACCTGCCTTATATCAAGTTTGTAGGAAATGCTAGGAGACAGATGATGTCGCTGCAACCTGATAAAATAGATCAAATTAAAAGAGATAAGAAGACTTTTCCAGATAGGAATTAGATAGATGGGGAAGGTATAACCATAATTAAAAGGCCACCCAACAGAATAAAGAATAAGAAAATTATTGATAAACCATATAATGGGGAATCAGATGATTAGAATGACTCTGAAAAATAGGACTAGTATGATGAAGATTTTCATTTTGGAGATTCAGTAGGTCGTCCTTATGCTAATTCATTTTTCAGTGGAACTAAAACAAACAGACTAGAGATTTAGTAGTATCATCTATAACAGTAAAACAGAATAATGTATAATGCAGATGGAAACTCATCTAAAAAGGAGTTTAGTTTTAAGTCTAGAACGAGAGATCATCTAAATCCACCTTAGTTTAAAAGCTCAAGTAATAATCTTTTAATAAATTAAGCAAACAATATTTAAAATGAAAGGAAGCCGTCTCAATCTTTAATAACTAATTCTAAGACTAACATAACTTAGAATACAATGAACTACCGAAAAAAGGCAAGAGAAATTCAGTATGAATAGATCAAGAAATTTGCGGAGGAATTTAATGTGGAGGAGTAATAGATATATTCATTGCTAAGTGAATATAAGAGCTTGTACAAGATTAATAAACAAAATTAAGAAGACCAGATTGAAAATCTAGTGAAGAAGGGGGCAGCAAATATTAGTAAGAGAGTAAAAGAGAATAAGATCAAGAGAGATGTCAACGATAACTTGCTTATAGTTGCTGATGAATCTGGTATGAGCTAATTGAATGGAAGAAGTTTGTAAGACTCATAGCAGGTACCACTCCAGACATATATGAAGTACTCTGTTTTCAAAAGACTTTTACACCCTGATGTCTTAGATCGGATCTTGCAGGCTTTTGGTAAGATAATATTTTATCATTTTTTTTAGGTGTTGATACAGAGAGTAAGAATGCAACGATATCTCAAAGGCAGTTTATTGGCTTGAATTGTTTCCTTAGATATCAATCGATGCCAAGACAAGTGATTGTGAAGATATGGATAAAGGTAATTCTTTAGTTTAGATATACTTATATAGATACTTGATCCACTTGGATTAGGGAAAATCTAGAAAGAAGCTTACAAGATATTCTTTGAAAAATTAGCTAGAGGAAAGCTTACATTGATTTCAACAATTATAAGCAGTGCTTTTGCTGAGTAATTAACCTAGTATCTTGAATAAAACGGATGTTTGCATCCAGACACAAAAGAAATAATAATGTCTAAAATGGCTTAAAAATTATACGACAGTGAAATAGAAATTGAAATCTTAAGTTAAACTCTCAGAAATATAGCAGATCTCAATATTCCAGATTCTAAACCAATAACTGACTTTAAATTTATGGGGGAACTCTTGAATGATATTCAGCAGTAAAAATCAAACTATGAGACAAATTAATGATATTTAACATAATAAAATCATATCAAATTAATGAATATCTAGACATCAGAATGAATTAATCTTAATTTCATAAATTGTTTTTTCTAATTTTAAATTGATTAAACTGATGGGGTTTTGGGGTTTTGGGGTTTTGGGG